CCCTCCCACCCCACTCTGTTCCTCTCTATCCCCTGTCCATCCTCTTCTCTCAGTCCCATCTCATTCCCCAGTCTTCTCCCTACTCCCCTGCTCCCTTCCACCTTTCTGTCCCCAGTCCTCCTGACCTCTGAGTCTCCACCCTCTGCCCAGGCCCACCTCTTGTCCTCTGTCTTCTTCTTCTTTTTTTTGAGTTGGTGCCTCTTCTGCCCAGGCTGGAGTGCAGTGGCCGCTCCCGCCTCGACCTGCCGGGCTCCGGCGATCCTTTCGCCTCAGCCTTCCGAGTAGCTGGAATACAGGCGCACACTACCACGCCAGGCTAATTTTTGATTTATTGTAGAGACGAGGTCTGACCAAGTTGCCTGGGTGGGTCTCGAACCTGCAGGCTCAGGCAATCCAATCACCTCGGCCTCCCAAAATGCTGGGATTACAGGCCTCGGCCTCTGTCTTCTACACGTCCATCTTTGCCCCCAGGCACCCCCATACCCACTCCAGCTTCAGCCACCTCACTCTGCCCTGAGGCTGCCCTTGTCCCTCAGTGTGATCCTCTCCCCTTACCCTTCCCTGGCCTCTCTGCCTCTGTCTATCCCCAGGTCCTTTTCTTGCCACCTGCCCCAAGCCTCCCTCCCTTCTCCATGGCCTCAGCCACTCACCCCTCATGCCCTTCCTTCCCCACAGACCGCTCGGGCCTGCTGTGTGTGGACAAGATCGAGAAGAGTCAGGAGGCATACCTGCTGGCGTTCGAGCACTACGTCAACCACCGCAAACACAACATTCCGCACTTCTGGCCCAAGCTGCTGATGAAGGTGACTGACCTCCGCATGATCGGGGCCTGCCACGCCAGCCGCTTCCTCCACATGAAAGTCGAGTGCCCCACCGAACTCTTCCCCCCACTCTTCCTGGAGGTCTTTGAGGATCAGGAAGTCTAAAGCCTCAGGCGGCCAGAGGGTGTGCGGAGCTGGTGGGGAGGAGCCTGGAGAGAAGGGGCCGAGCTGGGGGCTGAGGGAAACCCCCACACCTCTTCTCTCCTTCTTCTCATCCTTGGAGAGATTCAGCTCCCACACACACACCCGCACAGCCCAGGTCCCTCCTCAGAACCTCCAGCCCTGGGACAGGGCAGACAAATGAACTTGCTATGAAAAGGACAGTGTGGGAGGCTAGGGGAACCGTGTCCTGCAGTTCCCAGGACCCTGTCCTCTCAGAAGGTAGGGGAAGGGAGGGAGAACTGAGAGGGGGCAAGCCATCTTGACCGTAGGGGAAGGAGTGTGGGGTGGGGGAAGATACCCTCAACTCACCCCCTACATACACGAGAGAGAGTGCCCCTGCCCTCCGCCCCGTTCCTTGGCCTAGGTTTCCCCTCCAGGCTAAGGGCTTCTCTACTTCCCCAGACACCTGGGTGCAAAGAACGGCTTGGCTTGGCTCCTCCCCGGGAGGTTAAAAATTATAGTCATTCTAACTGCACTTTGGAAACCAAGCAAGGGGAGAAGATAAATGAAGAAAAACTAGACAGAGAGAAAAAGACAAAAAAGAGAGAGCGAGCGATAGAGATAGATGATATTAAGTTATTAACTGAGGCTGGCCAGAGGGGAGGGAGCCCCCCCTTCCGCCCCATGCACTTTGAGAGCTGCCCCTCCTCCCCACACATCAGAGAGTGACACCCCCACACCAGATCCCCAAGGGCAGGGCTGCCGATCAGAGCTGTGAGTTAACACAACAAGGTCCTGGCCACCCCCCTTGCCTTGCCCCGCCCCCTGTGCCCCTTTGGCACCCCCACCCCAGTACGCCCTCCGCTCTCTGCCGCTCGTGCCCGCTGAGTTCCATCTACCTCTCACGCTGGATGCCAGCTGGCCCCTCACCAGCCTGCCCTGCTGCCCACACAGCTCCCCTTTAAGTGCCCAACCCCAGGGGCCTCTCCCTGCCCCTCCTCTGCCCGCACCTTGGCACCCACCCAGGAAAAACGATGGCTCCAGCTCCTGACCTCCTCATATCCTGCAGTATTAGCTAGACTCCAGACACCGCTGCGCTGGGGGTGGGGGGCTGTGCGTGTCTCCCAGAGCCTCCCCCCTCTAGGCCTCTTGTTTCCCTGTTTCCCGTCTGTCTTCTGGGCTCTCCGCAGTCCCTCCCCTCCTCCTTCCCCTCCCCACTCAAGGCACTGACCCAGACTCTGGGTGGGCAGGCACCAGAATGGGGGGGGTTTCGGATAAGTGGCACTTAGTTGGGGCCCCAGGGGAGGAGGGGGTTGGTGCTCCTCCTTTCTTCTTTAAAGCTCTTTGGGCCAGCCGTCCCTCTGCCCTAGGACCCCTTCCCCTCTTTTCTCTAATTCAGGGACTTTGGCTTGAGCCCCCTCCCACCCTCCTGGTGAGGAGTGCTCTGTTGGTCTGCACTTGGGCGAGCTGCCCTCCTCCTCCTCCCTGTGGCTATCTCACCCACTCCTCAGGGGAGAGAGGGAAGGAGCAGGTAGTCCTCCCATGGGAGGGGGGAGGGGAGGGGGGCGGGACAGAGCAGACCAGAGGGCCCTGGGCTCAGGGCTG